GATATTCAGACACGAGGCAAGAGGGCCTTTAAAATTAATTAAGGCAAAGGTGATAGGTCCAAAGTCGGAGATCTCACAGTTGGATTATGTATCTGAGGTGACAGAAAGATTAAACAGAATAGGTAAATTAGCTAGACAACACTTTAGGTGACACAGCATCTAATGAAGCAAGAAGCAGACAAGAAATCTAAAATTTGTACGTTTGCCCAAGGTGATAAAGTATTGGTGCTGTTACCAGTGGTAGGAGATATCTTCACAGCAAGGTTTAGTGGTCCCTATCAGATTGAGAAGAAGTTGAGTCAGGCGAATTATCTGGTAAAGATGCCAGATGGGAAAAAAACTTTATCAGGTATGTCATGTGAATATGCTAAAATCTTACTATGACAGGGACAGGGAACTGGAGAAACAGGCATTAGTTACTGCCCCTCAGAGTGCGGAATCAAATCCAGATGATTTGGGTTTTAATGTCATTCTGCCTGCAAAAAAGATCCTGAGCTTCCAGTTGCCTGCCACTTTAACACACCACCCTGTTCCCTGGCCAACATCTCTGTCTCTGGCTTGCTGAAATGTTCCAGCGAAGCTCAGCACAAACTGGAAGAACAACATCTCATTTTTCGCTTGGGGACCCTGCAACCCTCCAGGCTCAATATTAACATTAACTGCTATTCACCCTCCTAGCAAGATCATGATCAACTCCTTTGTCTGTCCAACCATCCAACTGTTCCTCTCTCTCTCTTTGGGCTCTATCCCCACCTATCGTTTACTGTTTACCCCCTTCACCCACCCTATCTTCTGCATATAAACTGACTTTTTCCTAGCCACCATCAGTTCTGAGGAAGGGTCACTGGACCCGAAAACGTTAACTCTGATTTTCCTTTACACATGCTGCCAGACTTGCTGAGCTTTCCCAGCAACATTTGTTTCTGTTCTACATGCTGAGGGAGTCTGTTTCACAACTTGATTGCATTGGAAGTGACGAAGGCAGTGGATGTTGTCTACGTGGACTTTACTAAAGCATTTGACAAGGTCCCTCATGAATGAGAAGCTCAAATCACATGATCACCTGGCAAGTTGGAAATAAAATTGGCTCGGTCATAGAAGACAGAGGGTAGTTATGGAGAGGCAGTTTCCTAACTGGAGGTCTGTGATCAGTGATGTTCCACAAGGAACACTGTTAGGACCTTTGTTGCATGCGATACACATTAATGATCTGGACGAAAATGTCAGTGGTCTGATTGCAAAGTTTGCAAATGACACGAATTGTGGATAGTGAGGAAGAATATGAAAGGATGCAGCATGATACAGATAAGCTCGAAGTTTGGCGGAGAAATAGCAGATGGAATTTAATCCAGACAAGTGTGATATAATTCATTTTGGGAGGTCAAATGCAAGAGGAGACTACATTGTAAATGGCTGGACGGTTAGGAGTACTGATATACAGAGGGATTTTGGGGGACCAAGTCATTAGTTCCCAAAATTTACAGCACAATTGGATGAGGTGATTAAGAAGGCGTACAACAGGCTTGCCTTCATTGGTTAGAGCACAGAGTCCAAAAGTTGGAAAGTCATGTTGTAACAATGTAAGACTTTGTTCAGGCCATATTTAGAGTGTTGCATGCAGTTCTGGTCACCCACACTAGAGGAAGAATTTAGAGGCTTTGGAGAAGGAGCAGGGAATGGATGCTCCCATGTTTGATCTCTCCACCCTCTCTCTTCATGGCCATACTCGTTAGTGTGCATGCTCTGTGGTGTCAGCAAATGCAGCTAAACAACAAAGAACATGTAAACTCAGATTGGAGCTCCATATTCCAGTAGGTTTGCAATGAATCACGCATGCAACATATTCCAAAGCTGACGACTCTCTGAAAACTCTCACCTGCTATCTAATCTAATACCCTGAATATAAAATCTTAATTTGCTCGTCATTCAGCTAATTCTAGGAACAAATAAGCACAGATAGATTCTATTTGTTTTCATTATTTACAGATGTCAAATGTTGCAGAATTCACAACTGGCCAATTGTGCCATTTTATAAAATATCATCATTACTTTCCACTCGTTTAAATGCTTTTCCAAAAGCCTCTGAATCTCTTACTGTGGTAACTAAGGGTCTTTAAGAAGCAAGTTTTTGTAACTTCCTTCCCGATAAATTGGTGGAAGTAGAGTCTCTGAATGTTTTTAAGGCAGAGGTAGATAGATTCTCGTTAAGGTGAGAGGTTATGATGAGCATGAGGTTAGGTGGGCATGTGGTTTGGAGGTTCAATCAGACCAGCTACAATCTTATTAAATGTCAGAAAAGGCCCAAAGGGGTTGATCGTCTACTATTGCTCCTTAATTCTATTTTTAAATCAAGCTTGTCACGAGATCCTTTTGAACACCTCTATACCAACCACGCATTGGATGAAGGTACAAAAATCAGATGGTATTTTAGCTGAGGCCACACAAAGACTCTGCATATGGAAAACACTACTATTTCTTACCCTAATTTGGATTAAACTGCTATACAGTATCTCAATGTTCTTAGCTCTACTAATAGGTCAAGCAGATCATCTCAATGTAAGTTCATGATTTGGGGGCTATCTGGGGATCTGAGGGAGGTGTAGTTGGAAGTGAGATAAGTATGGGGTTAAAAAAAAATGGGGTTGGGGCAGCATACTGGCTCAATTGTTAATGCCTCACAATGCCTGGGACCCAGGTTCAATTCAATTCAATACACTCAGGTGTCTAAGGAGTTTGCATATTCTCTCTTTGCCTGTGTGGGTTTCCTCCAGGTGCTCTGATTTCCTTTCACAGTACAAAGATGCACAGGCTAGGTGGATTCCCCATGCTAAATTAGATCGTAGAATCCCTGCAGTGTGGAAACAGGCCCTTCGGCCCAACAAGTCCACACTGACCCTTGGAGCATCCCACCCAGACCCAGCCCCCTATAACCCACCTAAGCTACACATCCCTGAACACAGCCAGCAACTTAGCATAGCCAATCCACCTAGCCTGCACATCTTTGGACTGTGGGAGGAAACTCACACAGACATGGGGAGAATGTGCAAACTCCACACAGACACTCGCCTGAGCTTGGAATCGAACCTGGGTCTCTGGCGCTGTGACGCAGCAGTACTAACCCATAACCGTGCCGCCCATAAATTGCCCATAATATCCAGGGATGTGTTGGCTAGGTGGATTAGCCATGGTAAATGCAGGGTTACAGGGATAGGGTACAGGGTGGGATGCTCTTCGGAGGATTGGTGCGGATTTGATGTGCCAAATGGCCTGCTTCCACATTGTAGGGATTCTATGAATAGCCATGGGGCTTTACAGCCTTCAATACTCCCTTCCATCCACAGCTGAAAAGCGGAAGACTTTGAGAATCAATGGAGATTCCTGCTCCTGCAGAGTGGTATGAAGATCCAGATCTGCATTGTAGTACCAACTAGCTCAGTGAAATCACATGAAGAGATAAACAAAGAGTTATCTTTTTTAAAATCTGGTCAGGTTGATTTGAAGGCTACAAAATTACCAAATGTAACAGGTATAAATAGTTGCTCTGGGACTTGGCAGGGGCAGGGATGTTGACAGAAGATAAGATAACATAAGAAAATAAGATAAGAGGATAAGGTACTGGCATGGATAAAGGATTGACTGACCAGCTGATGACACAGAGTGGGGATGAAGGGGTCTTTTTCAGAGTGGCAGCCGGTGACGAGTGGCGTTCCACAGAGGTCAGTATTGGGAACACAACTATTCATTTTATACATCAATGATCTGGACAAAAGTACCAAGGGCATTGTTGCTAAGTTTGCATGTGATATAAAGATAGGTGGAGCAACAGGTATCATAGATCATAGTCTCATAGAATCCCCACAGTGTGGAAACAGGCCCTTCGGCCCAACAAGTCCACACCGACCCTCAGAGCATCCCACCCAGACCTATCCCCCTTTAACCCCACTAATCTACATATCCCTGAACATTACAGGCAATTTAGCATGGCCAGGCCACCTAGCCTGCACATCTTTGGACTGTGGGAGGAAACCCACGCAGACACGGGGAGAACATGCAAACTCCACACAAGACAGTCACCTGAGGGTGGAACTGAACCCGGATCCCTGGCATTGTGAGGCAGCAGTGCTAACCACTGAGCCACTGTGCCGCCCCAGGTAGTGTTGAGGAGTGGGGAGGCTGCAGAAAGACTTGGACAGGCTAGGAGAGTGGGTAAAGAAGTGGAAAATGGAAGATAACACGGGAAAGTATGAAGGTATACACTTCGGTAGGACGAATAGAGGTATAGACTATTTTCAAAATAGAGAAAAACTTTAGAAATCCGAAGTGCAAAGGGACTTAGGCGTCCTAGTTCAGGATTCTCTGAAGGTTAACATGCAGGTTCAGTTGGCAGTTAGGAAGGCAAATGCAATGTTAGCATTCATTTCAAGAGGGCTAGAATACAAGAGCAGGGATTTACTACTGAGGCTGATCAGAGCGCACTTGGAATACGGTGAGTGGTTTTGGCCCCATATCTAAGGAAAAATATGCTGGGGGTGAAGGACTTGTCATTTGAGCAGCGGATGAGGACTCTGGGTCTGTACTCAATGGAGTTTAGAAGGATGAGGGGTATCTCATTGAAACTTACAGAATGCTAAGAGGCCTGGATAGAATGGATAGGGAGAAGATGTTTCCACTAGTAGGAGAGATTATGACCCAAGGGCACAGGCTCGATGGTAAGGGATGACCACTTGGAACGGAGATGAGGAGGAATTTCTTCGCAGTGTGGTGAATCTGTGAAACTCACTGCCACAAGACAGCTTTTGAGGACAAATCATTAAGTGTCATTAAGACAGAGATAGATTGGGTCTTGATTAGTAAGAGGATCAAGGAATATGGGAGAAGGCAGGGGAACTGGGTTGAGAATCATAGCCATGATCAAAAGGCAGAGCAAACCAATGGGCCAAATGGCCTAATTCTGCTTCTATATCTTATGGTCTTAAGTACAGCTTGATCTGGTCACTCACCCTGAAGAATGGCTGCTTCTTCACTTCTTCTGCATCGCGTTCACTGGATCCCAACCGGCGCTCAGGATTCCTTCGTAACAACTAGACATCAATAAAACCTTCATTATCATTTGGTCACTTGACATATGCTACAATATCACAACATCCCATCTGAATGAGTTTTAAGTTATGCATGTACAAAACAAAGGTAAGGGTATTGGCAGGAGAGATGAGCATGTGCTCTGCACCACTAAAGCAGCCTCTGCTGTTAGACCACATCTAACATCCTTGTTTGTGGGATGGAGAGGGAGTGCATGTTAGGTGTCTACGGAGGTGCAGTTTCTGGTTGATGTGATAAGTTGAAGGGCCAAGTTAACGATTGCCCAGAGGAAACTAGGCTTTCAATGGTCCAACTTTATCTGGGTAGCTACTTACTTAACGTCAATAGTTCTCACTGAATTCTCCAATTTAAATGGAAACTCAGAGGGTTCTAGGCACAGAGTATTACCCACCAGAATCTAAAAAGTTCCCAGGCAATTCCCTCAGAGTCTGCTTTGTCTGGGATTCTAAACGGTCTCAATTTGCAATTCCCATCTCCGCTACAGAAACATCTGGCCATCGGAAAATTTGGGCCTATTAAACAGTGTTAACAGTCCAGATTTTCAGTTAGTGTATCAACACTCACCACAGAGCTTGAAGACAGCTGTCCGTCCACAGAGATCTCAAGATGTGGGTAGATCCCTTTCCTGACATTAATTTGATATTGACCCCAGCTGTAGAGAATCTCCAGCACCCAGCAACAGTGAAGTCATCAAACAGGCTAAGCATCCAATTGGAAACATTCAATGGGATGGCATGGTGGCTCAGCGGTCAGCATTGCTGCCTCACAGCAATGAACCCGGGTTTGATTCCACCCTTGGGTGAATGTCTGTGTGGAGTTTGCACATTCTCCCCATATGTACGTGGGTTTCCTCCAAGTGGTCCGGTTTCATCCCACCGTCCAAAGATGTGCAGATTATGTGGATTGGCTCTGCTAAATTGCCCATTGTGCCTGGTGATGTAGCAGTAGGTTAGGTGAACCAGTCATTGGATATGCAGGGTTACAGGAATAGGGTAAGGGGGTGGGTCTACTCTTCCGAGGGTCGGTGTGGACTTGATGAGCTGAATGGCCTGCTTCCACATTTTGGCCCAAAATCTCTTTGTTCCTGAACTCTGTGAAGATAAGTGGGAGTAGGTATGTGGCTTTGCCAGAGTAATGGGAATATCAACGGTGCAGTAAACCATTCTCAGGTCTTAAAAGAAGTGGCAGCAGTGATAGTGGATCCATTGGTTATAATATTCTAAAATTCTGGGGATTCTAGAAAGATGCCAGTGGATTAGAAAAATGCTAATGCTAATTCATAAAGGGAGGGGGGCAGAAAGTAGGAAAATCACATCAATTCAAGCAATTTTTGAGAGTACCTTCTGCAAGACCTTTAACAATATGGACTGTGGAGGATCAGGAAATCACTATTGGGAAATGGATTTCTATCTAACTGCACATATGCTGATGTCAGAATATACTGTCATTTTTCAGAATAATGATGATCAACTCTGATCTGGGCCATTAAATCTGTTATTGCTCACCTGTGCACACTCAGCAACCTTGCTCCCTCACTGGAATCATGCCATTAATTCCATTACCGTTTTGTTTCTTTCTCTGCCTTTATAAACCTTCTCAGAACCTATATTTTTGACTACCCTTTCAGTCACACCTTCTCATGGTACTCCTGTCAGTTTCCCTATCCATGTCACTTGATTTTCAATCTTCAGTCTCTGTCTCTTTTCCTCATAGCATTGCCTTAGTGCATCCTCTTGGTTAAGGCTTTCAATGAATGGAGAGATGATTGGGGAAACTAATCCTTTACCCTTCTCATTACAGCGATGGCCTCAGTAGACAGGAATCGTGGGTATCGAACCTCATCATTGACAATACTGTCAAACACTTCCTCCTCATCATCCCCTGGAAATGGAGACTGCAAGACAAACAATGAAAACTCGATCAGTGTCAAACTCCAGATACAATTACCTTTAAATTGCATAACTGAAATCTTGCTAATGTTGTACGATATTGTTCCCTCCTTTGATATTGAGCATAGCATTTTGGACTGAGCTCATGTAGTTCTTGGAGAAAGAAGATAACGACAACATAGGCTGGAGAAAGGAGGTTCTGCATAGTCAGTATGTGGAGCTAGGTGCTAAATTAGGAAGCGCAAACTCAAAGGTCATAATTTCCGCACTATTACTTTAGCTACATGAAAACTAGCATACAACAAAATTAGATGAGAGAAATGAACAGGTGACTGGGGTGGGAGTGGGAGAAATGGATTGGACACTGGCACCAGTGCCAATGAAAGGGAGATCTGGACAGATGGGATGGTTTTGCCTGAGCCGTGCTGGAGCTAGTGTTCTTGCCAACCGCGTAATTATGGAAGCAGAGAGGATCTTAACTTAATAGCAGGGGCAAGAGATCAAGATTGGGAAGATGTTATAAATCAAAGAGTTAAGGCCCAAGAGAAAGCTATTGACACGAGAACAGACTGTTACAGGATGGGATGGAGAGTATGAATTGAAGAGTCAACTAACAGATGTACAAAGGGAGTAAAAGGATAAAGCTAAAAGGTTCTGTGTTTGAATGCACACAATATTTGAAATAAAACAGATGGACTGAGAGTGTAGAATGAATAAGTATAATCTGTTATCCAATACAGAGGTATGGCTGCAGAATTATATGAATTGGGACCTGAATCTTGAAGGATCCTGTCATTCGTTAATGACCTGTAAAGTAGGAAAAGATGGCTCTGTTAGTTAATGATTGTATTAGCAGAATAGAGATAGATGAGGGGAGGTTTTGTCTCACAAAATTGATTTTTTTGAGGAAGTGATGAAGATGATTGATGAACGTAGGCAACACTTGGATACCAGAAAGTTTCATAGCATCAGGTCAAATCTCCTGCTGATTATTAACTCCTGCTCTGCTTAGCTAATGTGTCAGAGATAGTCCATATTGAACACCACATGAAGTATGGAGGGCAGTAAAGACAGAGAATATAATCTGGGTGGGGGACTTCAATGTCCATCAAAGGGTGGCTCAGGAGCACAATACTGGGCAAGCAGGCCAAGTGCTCAAGGACATAGCTGCTAGATAGGGTCTGCAACAGTTGATGAAAGAACCAACACAGGGGTACAGCCGTGTCCTCAATCTCCAGTCGTAAATGTATCTGTCTAAAATAATACCGGTCTGTGTGACTACTGCATTAGTGCCCATGAAGATGTAGTCCCATCTTCACTTTAAGAATACCCTCCATCGTGATGTGTGGCACTACCACCATGCCAAATAGGATAAATCAGAACTGATCTAGAAGGGAAAACTATGGGGGAGCTGTGGGCCATCAACAGCAACAGAATTGTTGTCCAACACAATCTGCAACCTCCTGGCCTAACATATCTCCAATTCTACCATTATCATCAAGCCAGGCAAAACAAGGTTCAATGAGGAGGGTAAAAGGGCATGTCAGGAAAAGCACTAAATGCACCAGAAAATAGGGCCCCAACTTTGTAAAGCTACATGCTGTAGTACACATAGCACGTAAGGATATTGAACAGCAGACCTTGCACAGTGAAGACACAATCAAATAATAAAGGTTTATTACAGTACAGTCCTACCAGAATTTAGGGCTGCTCTCTCATTATGGAGAGACGAATGGTGATGGCTTAACCCCAGGGTCACTACGCTTAAAGCCAGGGGAGACGTTGAGAAAGACAGTCTTTTATAGTAACCTCAGCCAGTATGGAAATTGAACCCATGCTGTTGGCATGGCTCTGCATCACAAACCAGCCATCCAGCGAACTGAGCTATCAGATAAACTACTGGGTCAGAACAAAGCTCTGGGCTCTGAAGGGCAACGCTATGAAGCGAGATTACATAAACTGGCATTGTATTGTCTAGGTCTTGGGATGTCAAGGAGTAATTTGAAGTTTTCAAGATATTAAGGGAACAATTAGTTTCTGTGTACCTACCCTATTTTTTCTGGTTGCAATGTTTAGGAGTACAATGCAGGGTCTAAAGATTTGAATCAAATCTTTCAGGAGTGCAACAGGAAAATAGTATTTCAATCAAAGGCTAACAGAAATGTTAAAATTAAAATGGAGGATGACAGATTTTATGAGAAAAAGGTAATATGAGACAGAAACGGGTATTGCTAGAACCTTTGCTGTTTTTCTTTTTTTTTATTATTTTTGCTTGAAAATGTGAGCTGATAGTTTAAAGTGACCTTTGTGTGCATTAGTTTGTTTTAACAAAAAAAAGGGAGACGAAACAAACTGATAGGACCTGGCCTATAAGTCAATTACAGGTTGGTAAGAACACTCTAGATGTTTTGGTTCCAGAAATGCTTATGCTGTAATGTTGGTAGACATTCAGATGTTAACAGGGGCCATCACAGGGAGAACGGTGCTAACAAGTCTAACAATGGGTGTGTTGGGGAAAAAAATCAGAGAAGGACAGAAGGTGGAACTTTGTTCTTGTCAGAAGTATCATGTGGGTGAAAGCTATGGGGTAGAGGTTTGATTGCTCCAATGTTATCCTCCCATGGTCAGCTCATTGAAAATTTAGGGAATAGAATCTCAATTATAAGAATTAAATGGATATTCCTTGGAACCTATTGGAAGCACTCACCAGTTTCTTCAGAAATCAAGCAAAATTCAACCCCATATGCTTGTAATATCACGAAAACTGCTTAAGTTAACTGACAAGTTACATCTGTTATTTTTCTTTTAGTTTGTCCCTTAACTGTAACTGTCTACATCTATGTGAGAGTGGGAGCTAGAACCAAAGAAGATTGGGTTTAAATCATAGACATTAATTAGATTACTTTGTTGTTTAATCTTGCTCAGCTAAAGCTACTGTATTAATAATAAATCATTAATTCTTTTATTTAAGCTATAAACTTGCTGTCTAAGATCAGTTTTTAAGAAGTCTGGTTAGAAACCACTGGATCAATTTTTGGTCATAGAATGCTTTAATTTGCTGTGTTGCGAATACAGGGATAGGGAGGCTGATTTAAGCTGTCTGTCTCTATACTGCAACAATACAAAGAGTGAAGTCACAGATCAGCCATGATTTCATTGAATGGTGGTACAGGCTTGTGGCCACTTCTTCCCACACTGTACTGTCACATGCAGTCATGAATGGTGTTTGGGAAATGATGAGGGAGTCCAGTACCCAAATGAAAAATACAAGGTCGGAGAATCTGCACTGATTTTCTGTGGGAGCATTTGCAACTCCTCAGATATGGGCATGTAGCCCATGTCTATAGCCAGCAAAATCCAGTCTTAGGCTGATAAGTGGCAAGTAACATTCATGCTGCACAATTACGAGGCAATGGCCATCTCCAACAAGGGAGAATCCAACCTCATCCCTTTGATATTTAATGGCATTACCATCTCTGAATCCACCACTATTCACATCCTGAAGGCTAGCATTGACAAGGCACTAAATTGGACCAGACAAATAAATACTACAGCTGCAAGAGGAGACTTTGTTGGGGACAACTAATGCATCACCTGACTCTTCAAAGTCTGGTGATACACTATCTGGATTGTGGAAATTTATCATTATTCCATGCACTGTAGTCATTGCTAAGTTGGCAGCATGATCACTTCTGAATCAGAATATTGTGGGTTCAAGTCTTATTCGAGGACTGGAGTTCATTCATCAAGGGTGACACCCCTGAACTGTGCTGAGGGAGTGATGCCGTGTCAGGAATGCCATCCTTCTGATGAGATATTAAATCATGTTTTTGTCTAACCTCTCAAATAGATGTAAAAGATCCAGGGACGAAAAAAAGGGAGTGCGCTCCAGTTTTCTGGCCAACATGTATTCTTCAACCACCAATAAAAAGGCTGATCCCGCTTATTATCACATTGATGGCAGTGGGAACTTGCTGAGTACAAACTGGCTGCTGCCGTTTCCAACATTATGAGTATCGAAAGTACTTCACTGATTGAAGCAGCTACTGAAAACTTAGGGAGAGGTACTCTATGAGAAGTGTGGCCAAAAAAGTTACTATATAAATAAGACCTTTGCTGTGGTTGGTTTGCTTGCCGAGCTGGTTCGTTAGTTCGCAGACGTTTCATTACTGCCTCCGATGAAGCGCTGTTGTGTTTTCCCGCCTGGTATTTAAACTTTGGAGTCTGTTGGAATTGGTTATCTCATTTCCGGTTTTTCTTCGCAGTGGTGTATACATAGGGTCTATTTCTATGTGTTTATTGATGGCCTTCTTGGTGGAGAACAAAGCCTCTAGAAATTCCCATGCTTGTCTCTGTTAGGCCTGTCCTAGGATCCTGAAGTTGCCCCAATCGAACTGGTGGTTCTCCTTATCCGTGTGAATGGAGACGAGTGAGTAGGGCGTATTGTATCTTCCAACAACTGGAAGTAACTCGTCACGTTACCATATATCAAAAACATATCTGAACTGACCACAAGACTCCTACGACCATTGGGCATCAGAGTGGCACACAAACCTATGTCAACCCTACACCAACTGCTAACTCGAATCGAAGACCCCTTACCCACTATGGACAGAACCAACATGATGTACAAGATCCCATGCAAAGACTGCAACAGACATTACATTGGATAGACAGGAAGGAAACTGGCCACAAGAATACATGAACATCAATTAGCAACAAAAAGACATGACCAATACTCACTCGTCTCCATTCACACGGATAAGGAGAACCACCAGGTCTAGAGGTTAGGTTCTCCACCAAGAAGGCCATCAATAAACACATAGAAATAGACCCTATGTATACACCACTGCGAAGAAAAACCGGAAATGAGATAACCAATTCCAATGGACCCCAGAGTTTAAATACCAGGCGGGAAAACACAACAGCGCTTCATCAGAGACTGCACTGATGATGTTACCCAACAGGGTAATGAAATGTCTGCGAACTAACGAACCAGCTCGGT